AACTCAGACAGTAGGCTTCATGTGTTTGATTTAGATGAGTTCTTTCCGATTTTCTTCAGACCACTTAACCCAGCTTTTTCAAGTTTTCTGCAGTTTCCCCACCATTTAACTGTTTTTGTTAGCCATCCCTGGAATTTTGCCAGATTCTCTGCATTTTCTTACCCAGGTAGGACCCCAAAATTGCGGTAATCTGCAGCTTGACAGAGCCGAGTGTATTGTCTGCTTATAGCTCAGCACTGTGCTTGCTTTTACATCCACAGAGTCTCCTGACATTGAGATGTTAGAATTGGAAGAAATCCTAGGGCTGATCTAGTCCATTTTCCCACTTACTTAAGGATTTCTCGTACTGAACCCCTCAAATGGTTATCCAGCTCAAACTCCGTACTGAACCCCTCAAATGGTTATCCAGCTCAAACTCCAAAAAATACCCTTTCCTTACAGAAGTGTTGTTTTTTCAATTTAATACATTGTAAAATCAATTAAGTGCATCCATAAGTCACATTTTTAAAATAATAGAGTGGGGACTTCCCTGGTGGTGCAGTGGTTAAGAATCCACCTGCCAATGCAAGGGAGGTGGGTTCGATCCCTGGTCCAGGAAGATCCCACATGCTGCGGAGCAACTAAGCCCGTGAGCCACAACTCCTGAGCCCACGTGCCACAACTACTGAAGCCCACGCACCTACAGCCCGTGCTCCACAACAAGAGAAGCCACTGCAATGAGAAGCCACTGCAATGAGAAGCCTGCACACCACAACAAAGAGTAGCCCCCCCACCGGCTCGCCGCCACTAGAGAAAGCCGGCGCACAGCAATGAAGATCCAATGCAGCCAAAAATAAACATATTAATTTAATTAAATTAAAAATAAAATAAAATAATAGAATGGATGGATGGAATAGAATAGACTAAGACAGGAAAAGTTTGGATGGAATATCAGAGTCTATTAAGTGCACTGAGGACAAATATTTCATGAAATTTCCGTTTTCAGTTGGGGGAAAGGGGATCTATGTGTGTTTGCAAACTGTATCTCTTACTGGGAGTCACAGTCCAGAACTTTCTACACTGCCCGGCAGGATTACTCTTACCAACTCCAGGAAACCAATTTGCCTATTCTTTACCTCATCAAGCTTAGCTTTCACTTAAATCAAAATTTTCAAGTTGCTGGCATCCATCCAGTTCAACCCTACTCCTGGTCTTTTCTCAGTTAATCTGCTCAATTTAGGCTAACTGTAACATTTAACCCACTGATTTTTTTTTATCTAAATGAAGAAGGTAAAGAACGTAATTAAAAAGTTTCTCCCCTCTTTCTGTCCCTCTGTCTCCCTCTGTCTGTCTGTCTCTCTGTCTGTCTATCTAACCGGAAACGCTTCATTTGCTTTTTTGGCCAGGCTGGGCCAAAAGTGCTTCTGGTGTTGCTACAGGGCATTAGCATCCATGCCTTTTTCAGTGCCCCTCTCATGCTGAGACATAGTTCTTTTCTTGTAAATCATGAAGCAGGAGTTCTTCGCAGCTAAAAGACATACCTCCCCCTGCTTCCTAATCTCTCCAAATTCAACTCACCGCAGCTTTTCTGCTATTGTTGCTTTGCTAGCTCTTCACCTTTGGTTGGAGAGAAGATATTCGGCCTGGTGAGCCCCTGCACACCCGAAAATTCTGCTTCGACGCCATCTCCCATAGCAGCCCGGTCACTCTGTATGACTGTCACGGCATGAAAGGGAACCAGCTCTGGGGACATCGAAAGGTAAGGGCCAGCTCGCCGCGGGCAGCGAGCTCTCCAACTGCCCTGCTTAAGGTTTTCTGACGCAAAGGTTTTTGGTTTTAACGCATTGTTTTGATTTAAATTGTTACCTGGCCATTTGGTTCATGCATTTGGAGACCACAGCAAAGATGAGGGGAAAGTCAAGAGTGTGTAGGAAGGGGCATTGCTTTGGCTTTGCTGGCCACGTGGACACCCAGCACAGTCAGTTTCAACTTCACATGGCTTTGAGCCAGGACACTAGCCCTACACGGGAAGGGCCTGGTCTCAACCCAGATGGCTCCCAAACGCAGAAGCCATATGCTCTGCAGACAAATGTGCACATGTAGAGTTTTTCACGACACCAATTCACACACACACAGATTAACACATCTCTTTACTTATTATGCATCTCAGGCTCATTCGCTTGGGAGCTCTTTGGGTTAAGACAATTACATTTACACAAATACTAATATATTCATGTAGATCTAATTGTTGCAACCTTTATATAGAAAGACCCATTTTTAATCTGGCCAAAATCCTGCCCAAGTATAACAAAGGAGAACTTATTTGGGGAATTTAAAAGTTTAAAGAATTAGAAGGGTAACATTTATTGCTAGAAAAAATAGTTCAAAACTAAATATAAAATCATATTTTATTGAGTTGAGCATTTAAGTAAAGAATAAAGAGCAATTAAATATTTTAAAATATTTTCATTAAGTTATCTTTTGATAGCTTTTTAGAATACAATTTTTTTCTCAGCTTCTTTGGTTTCTAAGGCAGGACTCAGCTGTCAATTAGCAAGAACTCATAAGTTCCCTTCTGCCCCTCAAGTTTGTAGAATTGCTAGGGGCCTCCCCAGCCAGGTGGAAGATGCCCTCTGTTTGCCTTTTCACACTCTGGAATGATTCAGCCTCACCCCAGACTGTAAGGAAAATGTCCCACCCACCACTTGAATCAGGACTGTTGGCCAGCCTTGGCTGAGGTAAAGTCAGTATCCCCTGAAATCACAGAGAGCTGAAGGGGAAGGTCTGCAGAGAATCAATATGGGGACCACTGGCTTTGATACCTGTTCCCTCACTTAGTAAGCTTTCTGGCAACTACCTCTTAGAGGTGGGCACCGAAAATTATACTCAAAGGCAGACTCATTTGTACAAGTTTATTCCGCACACTGCCACCCACCCCTGCCAACATCTGGCAGGTTGTGGAAAAAGTACAAAACACCAGTTGTTATATCCTCTTAAAAAACAATTTAAAATTAAAAGAGCTAATAAGAAGATGGCATCCGATATGATACGGGGTGATGGGGGGAAATCAGACAAGAGGAAAACCTCCCTGTTTTCCTTGTGAGATATATCAGAAATGATTAATCTTGTCAAACCCTTTTGCTATTCAATATAGTACAGTCCGTGTGTGGTGCAATAAAGTGTTGTGTTTTGTTTTGTTTTGTTTCGTTTTGTTTTGATGGTTATATGCTGACCGTTAGGAAGTTACTTTCAGGGCACATGGATAAGATACCTGATCTGCCATTTGCCTCGTGTACTGTTGGTCCCCACGGAGCGGACCGTTTCTCATCACTGCTTACAGCATGAGAGACAAAACACTCCATAACGCCCAGCTAAGCCAAGAAAGTGCAGGGACCCGCCAGGCATAACTGTGCTGGGCTCTTTCCTCAGACCTGGCCTCACGTGACTCTGGTTACGCTCACCGGTTAGTTATACAGCAAGCACGATGTATACGTCATCGGGAACATGGCCAAGGCCTAAAATGGAAAGTTTCTGAAACAGCTCATCTGAGGTGATGATTCAGGCCTGTTCAAATGTACCTGTTGGAGAAAGTCCCTTGTCTATTCCAAGGGCTCTTCCTGAGGCACAGAGCGAGAAGTCCCTCTGGTGGGTGTTGCCTTGTCTGTTTGGAGGCATTGCTTGGCCCTCGGGGCTTTGGACAGCTTAGCAATCTTTGGAGTCGGCTTTGGGGTCGCCCTTTGTATCAGCACACTGACAAATCCACGTGGATCCCTGAGACTCTGCTGACTGCCTAAAGGACCCCCGTGGGGCATCTCTTAGGCTCCGTCCTCCTCATGTTCCAGCTGGTGAGGATGCTCAGAGCTAGTGCCTTACACACCTCACAACCAACCACCTGGGCCTGTCACGTACGATCCACAGAGGAAGAAACAGATTTGGGGCCAAGCCAGCGTTCAAGCGCAGGTGCATCTGGCCTTAAAGTCTCTCCTCTTTCCTGCGCCCTTAAGCAATCCGATCAATATTCCCCGGGGGGCGTCCTGATGCCTGTTGGATTCTGCATCACCAAGACCAGACAAGCGCTTCTCCCAGGCGCACAGAGATTTCCAGAATTGAGTAGTGGCTGCCGGCGACCTGCCTGAGTGGGGAAGGGCGCTGTCGGCCCCATTTTCTGACCTCTCAGCACCCATCAGCTCTCAGATCTTGTTGGCCTTTTTCTTTTTTTTTCAGGAAGATTTTCCCCTTTTCCCCCAGCTTTACTGAGATATAATTGACACACAACATTTTGTAAGTTTAAGATATACAACGTAACGATGTGATACACCTATGAACTGAGAAATGATGACCACAACAGGTATAGTTAACAAATGTGTCACTGTACAGGGTTCTGGGTGTGTGTGTGTGTGTGTGTGTGTGTGCGTGTGTAGAACTGTTAAGATCTACTCTCTTAGCAGCTTTCAAGTACACGATACAGAGTTATTCACTGTAGTCCACATGCTGTGTATTACAGCCCCAGAAACTTACCCAGCTTAGAAGTGGACCACCCTCCCTGACCCTCCGCCCCCTTGCTCTCAGTTATTTTTCTATGTGGCTCTTTGCCACCACGAGAAAAGGAAGGAATCCCTATCCTAGGGTCGTGTAACTAGGCTCCTGCCCAGCCATCTCCCCTCGTTAGCAGGTACCCAGGGTGAGAAATCCCATTTTCGGTTTCTTTCGCCACCAGGGGGACCCCGGCTACAAGAACAATGATTTGCAGAAGCGACCTCAGTAAAAGTATTCAAATCACCAGCCGACACTCAAAACGACATCTGAAACAAGAAACTGTCCCGCTGCCTCCTTAACCCCCTACATCTAGTTGGTCTCTAAGACGTGTGAACCCCTCCCTCTCCTTGCCGTCCCTGTGGCCGCAGCCCCGACTGCAGCCCTTCCCAGTCTCAGTCCCGGATTACCGCAAAGGCTCCCTTAAAGGGCCACCCTGCCTCCACCCTCCCCCCACCCCCCAGCCCACCTTCCATCCTGAAGTCAGAGGGATGCCCACAGGAGCTGGTCATTGCATCCCTCTGGTTTATACGTTACTTGGTTTCCCACCGAGAAGATGAAGTGCCTTCTCCCAAATTCTCATCCTGCCTCTTCACAGTCTGGTCAACGTCACAGTGGCTTGTCTGGCCCAAGACATTCTAATTCATCCTGGAACTGTAATGTGATCTTGAGTGAGTTATTTCACATGTGTGATTTTCAACTTCCACATCAATAAAACAGAGACAGTAATTCAGTGAGATAAACTGTGGAAAACTTCCAGCAAGGTTTCTGACCATATGATAGAATTTCCATCCATGTGGGTGACAAGTACACTTTTTACACTGGGAATAGTGGTGAGCTATATCCTGCTGTGTAGCAATCTATGCTAAGAAATATTAACTACTGTTATCCCCCCAGATCAAGAGCTATCTCCCATGTTCTTTTCTAGTGAGGAAACATTTTTATGGGAGTATAACATATATCTTCATTGGGGTTTCCCCAGATGTAGGCCCTGAAGTGAGAATTTGAGTGCGAGTGGTTTATTTGGGAGATGCCCGCACCCCTCCAAGATCATGGCAGAGAGTAGGGAAGTGAAACAGGGAAGGGAGCCAATACAGGGCCTCTGATAAAGCAAGTACCAGCGTGGGCAAGGGGAGACCAAGCCCACCGACACCTCTGCAATGGTCTACAACACACACCGACAGGAAGGAGGCTGGGATATTTAAACACCACCACAGTCAGTCTTGGCTTACGGCCGCTCCTGGGGGGTGTTTATTCCTGACACCTCTGGGCGGCTGCTCTTACAGACGGAGCTGTTCTAGAGCCCAGAGAACTGAGGCCCTAGAGCAAGATTCAGGGGTCAGCTTAAGGAGGTCAGGTCAGCAGGCACTGAAATCCTGGGGCCTGAAGAACTGTGGGCAGACGCTGCCTGAGCACCCAGGCCTTCCCACCTTCACCAACACCTGGCACGCTGGTTTCTTTTTCTTTTCCTTTTTCCGTTCTGTGGTTGTAGAGTAAGATCACATGTCTGTTAGCCTTTTTGGAGATCTTCTTTGAGAAGGACCTGTTCAAGTCTGTTGACCGTGTTTTAACGTGGGTTGTCTGACTTTGTTTTTTCTTTTCTTTTCTTTTCTTTTTTTTTTTTTTTTACAGATTTTGAAGAGTTTTTGGTATATCTAGGTATAGTGCTTCGTTGGTTTTTTGTAAATATCTTACTCCAGTCAGTTTCTGGCCTTTTCTCTCTCCTTGATGAAGAGCTGTTCTTTCCGATTAGTGTTTTCCGTGTCCTGTTTAGGAAATCTTTGCCCACACCAAAGTCAAGAAGGTAGTATTCTAAGTCATCTTTGGAAGCTTTGTTGTTGAATCTTCTGCATTGTGGTATGTATTCCCTGGAATAGTTTTTGTTTACATTGTTTACAATGTAAAATGGGGCTGTTTTTTTCATATTTATATTCGACTGGTCAATCATCATTTACTTTAAAAAAAATCATTTTTCCCACTGCAGGGAAGTAGCACCCTTGTCATAAGTTGAGGGGCCTTATATGCATGGTCTATTTATGAATCCTCAAGATTTTAACCCTCTGACTAATAAGTCTTAGCCATACAGAAAGTAAACTGATAGACAAACTTAACCTAATAAGAACCAAAACCCCATAACATCAGTCTTAGTGGTGAAATGTTTCAACTTCCCTCTGGAGACTGGGAATAAAATATAACGTCTGCTACCGTCACTTCTATTCAACATTGCACAGGGGGGCCTTCCCAGAGCCATCAGGCAAGATAAAGAAATTAAAAGGTCTAAGAAACAGAAAGGAAGAAATAAAACTGTCTACTCACAGACGACATAGTTGTGTCCATAAAAAAATCCAAAGGTTATACATCTAAACTATTAAAGTTAGTAAGTACATTCAGCACAGTCCTGGATAGAAAGTAAATATAAGACAATCAAGTGTCTGCATGCCAGCAACAAAAAACTGGAAAATAAAATGCTAAACTTATTCCATTTGATCACCATAAAAAGTATCAAATAATTAGGAATAACTGTCACAACAGATGCACAAGGCCTTTATACAGAAAACTACGAAACATCACTAAGAGGAACTTCTAAAACTACAAAGGAAAGCTAGCATGTTCAAGGATAAGAAGACAATATTGTGAAGATACCCGTTCTCAAGCAGGTGTTTACATTTCATGCAAAACCAATCAAATCCCAGCAGGTTTATTTGTGGAAATTGATGAGCTGATTCTGAAATGTACATGGAAATGAAAGGGCCAAGAAGAGCCAAGAAAAAGTTGAAGAAGAAAAAGAACAAGCATCAAACACTATAAAAGTGCCAGGTACCCAAACATCGCAAAAATGCAATTATTAGTGTAGTGTGCTGTTGGCATAAGGATAGACTGATGCTCTAGAAAGAGAAGCCTGGGTATTGGTATTTTTTAAAAGCTCCTAAAAGGTTCTGATGGGCAGCCAGATAGAGAATCACTTTTCTAGTTCCAGTTTTTACCTACTTTCCTTACCCTACTCTTCCCTCCTACTGTAGTTGGAATTGCCCCTCTGCTTGTATTCCTATAGCATTTTGTTCCCTCCTTTGTACTTAGAACATTGTATTATGCATGGTTAGTCTCCCCTTATAGATGTTAACTATCTGAGGGCAGGAAGTTTTTCTTGTATTTCTGTGTGGCCTGCCTAATATCTACCACGTAGACGTTCGTAAATAAGTATTCATTAAATGGGCTCAATTACTGATGCGATCCCCTCCAGGAACCCCAAGCCGTGCTGGATAAAACTTAGCACATCTTTTGGTCTCAGAACCACCTTCACAGCCTCCCCAAAGTCCAAAAGTGAAAGGTTTACATCACTTTTCTGAGTTGCTCTCTGGGGTGTCCTTATAGTTTAACTTCCATAAGAAAGGGCTTAAAAATAACATCAAACAGGAAAATACAGATAAAAAGACACCTGTCAGGCTAAACTGATAACAGTGAAACAGTCACAGCACTTTAAAAAGTGAATGGGTGGAATTCTTGGCATGTGCCCACATCTGACTATTTATGGTACCTTATGTTACGTGCCAGGGCTTTAGCTTCTCAGCTCATAAAATCCTGCTGGTCCACAAAGATGCCAGATGGATGGCCACAAGGTTGTTATTTTTAAATCATTCCGGTTTGGTATTGATTTAGGACCTAAAATGAGGAAACAGAGTTTAATTGAAAGGCGTGAAATTCGACTCTGGTTCTGATAAATGAAGCCCCACTACAAAATCCTGGACTTGTGGTCATGCTTAGACAGTCACACTATCCCTGATCAGCCCCTTCGTTTCTGGACAGTCCCAAGTATTAGAAAGCTCTAAGACTTTTGGTACCACACAGATTAAGTTTCATCCATTTTGGTCAAGACAGATTCCAGATCCTTGAACAATGCTGGTCTGATCTTTACTCCTTACTTCCAGTTACATGGCCCAACTTCCTAACACTGCTCTTCAGATAACTTCATTGGGACCTACCTCAGCCTCCTGGACACAGATTCTTAACACACTCCAGATGGTCCTAGAGGGTGGCGTGATGCCCCAAAGGGAACACAGTATTCTAGGTGTGTTTAACCAAAGAACAGAATGAGTTTCTAGCACCCCTTTGTTATGAGCAGTATATGCCTGTTGAATTAGCGTGAGTTGATTGCTTTTCTGCCTTAACTTCACATACTTGGCCTCTTAATGAGCTTTCAGTATTAAAAAAACCACTCTTGCTTTGCTACACAGATACGTCTCTGTAGTCGTCTACCTGTACAGTTCACCTTTATTTTTTTTTTTGCGTTACGCGGGCCTCTCACTGTTGTGGCCTCTCACTGTTGTGGCCTCTCCCGTCGCGGAGCACAGGCTCCGGACGCGCAGGCTCAGCGGCCATGGCTCACGGGCCCAGCCGCTCCGCGGCATGTGGGATCTTCGTGGACCGGCGCACGAACCCGTGTCCCCTGCGTCGGCAGGCGGACTCTCAACCACTGCACCACCAGGGAAGCCCCAGTTCACCTTTTATACTTGGGTAGCCATCCATTGGTTTCTATTAAATTCTCCCTCACGAGATTTACCCCAGCCTGGATTTCGACTCTTTGATCCAGCTTATTACCAGGTGAACTAGTTTTACTCCAGCCGTGAGTTAGGGCAAAGCAACGTGCACTCAGTCCCTCATCTAAGCTGTTGATCCCAATGAACAAGGCCCAGAACGGAGCCCTCCATCCTATGATAGAGGAGACATTGGCCCATCGGGTGCAGTTACTCAACCAGATACAAACTCACCTAATGGTGAATTATCTTCTAGCCCATATTTCTCCAGCTTACCCACAGGAAAACAAAGGGGGATTTTTAAACATCTTGCTGAAAACCAGATGCACGATGTCTACATCATACACTATACTCTGAAAATAATAGGAGACACAATAGGAGACATGAGCATTGTACCCTGAGAAATTCTGATCTTCAGTGCAACTTGACAATTCAAAGATGAGGGAGGTTAACTCCCGGGACGGGAGTACATTACACCTCTGCAAAGAAGCTACATTTTCAGCAGTGTTGCCTTCCCATTCTGTTTCTGTGTGTCTAATCCGGCTGAAGTCACTTCGTCATCACGTCCTTTTAACTTTTGCCATATCTGGGTAACTTAGCCATATCCCTGCGGGTTACAATTTTACCTAACGGGCTGCACTGCCACCCTCTGGTCACTAGTAAAAAGATTTCATCACAATCTATCTCAGGCTCTAACATATGGACAGAGACTTCCTGAACTGAAGGCCTGTCAAGATGGAGATTGTCAAACTTTAAAGGATCTGGCTAATCGGAACTATACACATTTGAAATTAGTATTTGCTAAGGAGGACAGTTCTTCCCTGCTGAGCATGTGTGGGTCTAGAGCAGGAGTGCTAGTTGGCTCGGCTAAGAAGGGGGTGAGGGCCTTCCCTGGCGGTCCAGTGGTTAAGACTCCACGCTTCCAATGCAAGGGGTGAGGGTTCAATCCCTGGTCAGGGAACTGAGATCTCACATGCTGTGCAGCATGGCCAAAAAATTTTAAAAAGAAGAAGAAGAAGATGACGGGGGTGAGACAGGCTGAGGCCGGGAGCACAGGGGCTAGACCCTGAGGGACCTGGGATTTGAGTTCTGGCTCCGCGGTGGTCCTAGCTCTGGGATCTTGGGAAATTTCCTTACTCTGTGCTTCTGTTTCCTCATTTATCAAATGGCGATAATAACAGTATCTACCTTAGAAGATTATCGTGATGATGAAATAAAAGCTAAATGCACCTAGGACACGGCACTTAATAAGAGTTCAATGAGTGTCAGCTATTAGGTGCCCGAAAAACTTCTCCTGATTTGACTTTAGCTCTCCTAGTAAGTTTACATAGAGGAAACGATAGGCTGTCTAGTCGTCTTCCTATACTATTTTAGCTATTTAACTGTCGCTAAATATTAGAATGTAAATTCCACAAGAGCAGGGATTTTTCTCTGATTTCTTTCATGCAGTATCCTCAGTACCTAAAACACTGCTTGGCACGTAGTAGGTGCTGAATTAGCATTTGTTAAATAAACAGGCGAACCTGGCTTCCTGTTTGTCCACATTCCCTCTCTCTTCAGGTTGCTTATGTGGATGAAGTAGATAAAATGAGAAAATCTGGGTAGAACATTTAACACTACAAGGCACATAAATACATACTCGATAAATAGCAGCTATTATTATGTTGACGTGACTGATGGCAGGTTTACTGAGGGGAGATGAACAGCTATGGACAGATGGAAACAAGATATGGAACAGATGGGTTTTCTCTACTCTTGGAGTTTTCAGTCTAGTGGGGAAGCAGACAGATTTTTAAATTGAATACATTAAGTGTACAGGATAATATGGGAACGGGACACTGCGCTCTACCCAGGTCAGAGAGGTATGCAAGGCTGCTCTGACACAGTACCTTTTAAATGGAGACCTAAAAGATGAGTAGGATTTAGGCAAGTGAAGAAAAGAATCTGAACAAGAATGGATATATGTATTGGATTGGCCAAAAAGTTCGTTCAGTTTTAAGTAAAAATAAAAGACACATTTTTCATTTCCCCCAAGAACTTTATTGAACAACATATTCATTAACCAAATGAATTTTCTTTTATGTAATGTTGGCAGGAGTTTGGTTAATTTTTATTTATTTACTTATTTATTTTGCCTGCGCCGGGTCTTCATTGCAGCATGTGGGATCTTTAGTTGCGGCATGCGGACTCCTTAGTTGCGGCATGCAGGATCTAGTTCCCCAACCAGGGATCGAACCCGGGCCCCCTGCACTGAGAGCTCGAGGTCTTACCCACGGGACCACCAGGGAAGTCCCCCAAATGAACTTTTTGGCCAAACCCATATACGTATAACTGAATCACTTTGCTGTACACCTGAAACTAACACAACACCGTAATCAACTATACCCCAATATAAAATAAAAATTAAGTTAAAAAAATCACAGATATAGGGGTCGGCTTGTGTAAATGCCCTCGGGTAGGGAAGAGCTTGGTTTTCTTGGAAGAACGGAGAAGCCAGTTGAAGTGTCTGCGCGTGAGGGGAAATGATGAATTCTAAGGCCAGGGGCAGGGCTGCCTATACAAGACCTCGGGACCATGCTAAGAATTTAGCGAAGAGGCTGGGAAGTCTTTGAATGGTGTGAAGAGCAGAGATTTAACAAATCACAACCGATTCTGTAATGATCCTGGCCACTCTGAGAATTGAGGGTATACTCACGCCCATCGATTGCCTGTAGCCCAGAAAACCAGCAATGGAGCAGCAGGCAGGGCTGCGGGGCTGCCAGCACTGTCTCAGCACACACACCGAGGGCTCTGTCCGTCGGGGCATCAGAAGCATTATTTCTGATCGGCCAAATTATCCACTGATGCAGGAAGACCAATTTTCTCCTCCTGTGAGGAACTGTACCTGTCCAAAGAAAAAATGGAAAAGGATAGGCAATCACACTGCTTTGTCCCTTTTATGCCTGTCAAGGTGTTACTCGCATTCTCCCAGATGCCAACGGCAAAAATAGGCATGAAAAACACCACCTGATGTGTCTTTCTTCCAGAACTCAAAGGCCACTCACATATCCACCTGGTTCTTCTCCACAACCCTAGGAGGTGGGAAGGCGGCTATTTTTGTCCCTTATCTCATCCCTCCCTCGTCTTCCCACTCCGAAATCACTAGCAAACGAAGGGGCCATCAGAGATTCTTGTCAGAGATAAAACTAGGATTAAAACCTAGTCCCATAATTCCGAGCCTTCCTTCTCTCGTATCCATACTAGAAACAAAAGGACATGAAGGCGATGTCTCTCACAAATGCATTTGCCGTCAATGTGAGTTACACAGAAATGAACAGTCAGCAGGAGGGAGTAACTCACCTCTCCCCACTTTACAGAGAAGCTATCTTGAGGTCCAGCCTATACCCAACTGCTTCCGGGGCATCTAAACCTGGCTGTCCCCTAAACACCTACGACTCGTTATACCTGAAACAGAGATCATCCTTCCTGCCCCCAATCCTATTCCTCTCTGCATTTCTCACCTCAACACTGCTTTTCCTCTAGTTCTCCACTTCCTCCACCTTAATCCCCACGTCCCATCAGTCAGGATGCCCTGTGCATTCACCTCCTGTAAAAGCTTTCCAACCATGTCTCATGTCACCCCCACCTCTTCCCTATTGCTGTCAAATCTGGACCCCTGCAGTAGCCTCCAGCTGTGCCTCCGGCTGTATCCCGAGTCCCCCACTCCCACCCCATTCTCCTCTCTGCCACTAGCATGAGGCACCCAAGATCCTTAACTCCACTGTTCTAAATCCTCCAACAACCATCCCGCATGCTTGCCTGAAAAGTCAAGCCTTAGCGTCGCACCCCAGTGTCTTCATGATGTGGAATTCATCTGTCACCCTCTGGAATCTTCCCCCTTGCTCCTTGGGCTTGGGCCACGCCAAGTGACCTGCGGGTCCCCAGCACATGATGGACGGAGCCCTCCATCACCTCTGACGCATCTCCTACCACTCTCCCTCACCCTGGCCTCCTCATGTTTCTGTAATCCACACACTGCATCCCTGCTTAGGGCCTCTGCACTGGCCGTTGCCCCGTCTGGCACCTCTTCCTCCAGATACTCGCATGGCCAATTCCCTTACCTTCTTCAAACATCACCTACTCAAATGTCACCTTCTCAGTGAGGTTTACCCTTGCCTCCCTATTTAAGTTTGCACACCAGCCCTTCCCTTGGCACTCCAGTTTCTCCGAACTGCTTTGATTTGCTCCGTGCCACCTTTGAACAGGCCATGGAAACAATTACACTCATGGTTTATGGTCTGTGCCCTACTGCTGTACCCCCAACCCCACCTCTAGAATGTAAGCTCCAGGAGGGCAGGAATTTTTATATCATTAAGGTTATTGATACATCCCAACCACCTAAAACAGTGCCTGACAGATAGTAAGCACCCTGTAGACTCTTGCTGAATAAATTGAATGCATAAATATACCTGTTAGTTCACATCTCTCTGTTCACACATTCTTCTTTATTCATCCTATTCCCCTGCAGCTACAATCTCATTGACACCTTCTGCTTCAAACGTATCTTGTTTACCTACTGGTCTCCCCCACTTCTTGGGCCAGGGGAGGCATCTTAGGTTATCTTTCTATGCCTACTTCCTAACACACACCGGAAAATAAAAAAGCGCTTAATAAATATTTGTTGAACTCAGATGCCCTGGATCATGTTGTATTTCAGGCAACACATACAAACTCGGACCATAACTATACGGAAGAGCTCATTCCTGAACTAATTACTTTGTTTCCATAAACCTTTTGCTTAAACCAGGAGGTACTGATGTATCCGTTCGGATAACTGGTCGAGGCAGGTGCCAATTTTTGCAAATTCTATTTCGCCAGTATTTCAGAAAATGCAATTTGGTCTTGAATAGCTGGTCTCAGACCAGATGGTTAGTACGTTCTGATTTTTAGAATTGGGGATGCTCCCTGACTGAAAATAAATTAAGAGGAGAGCAGGCGTGGAATAACTATTACTTCGTTAGTTACTGCACGTAGGACATTGTGCCAGCGATTTTACATATATTAACTCATTTTATCCACAGCAAACGCATGAAGCAGGTGTTATTATCTATATTTCACAAGTGAGGAAGCTGAGGTTCAGAGAATTAAGTAATCAACCAGGGTCATGTAACAGATGAGTGGTGTGACAGGAATGTGACCAAATTTCCTGGGGAATAAAGCCCTGGCCCCCTGCACCCTGCCGCCGTGTGGGTGTTTATTCTCAGGGTCATCTTCTTGTACGTTATGAACTCACCCACCTATTTTATTGTCTCTGCATCTTTTTTTTTTTTTTTTCTTTTTTTGCGGTACCGGGGCCTCTCACTATTGTGGCCTCTCCCGTTGTGGAGCACAGGCTCCGGACACACAGGCTCAGCGGCCACGGCTCACGGACCCAGCCGCTCCGCGGCATGTGGAATCCTCCCGGACTGGGGCACAAACCCGTGTCCCCTGCATCGGCAGGCTGACTCTCAACCACTGCGCCACCAGGGAAGTCCTATTTTGTCCTTTTTATGGCTGAGTAATATTCCACTGTATACACACTACTATATATAAAACAGATAACTAATAAGGACCTACTGTATAGCACAGGGAACTCTACTCAATACTCTGTAATGGCCCATATGGGAACAGAATCTAAAAAAGAGTGGATACATGTATAACTGAACCACTTTGCTGTACACCTGAAACTAACACAACATTGTAAATCAACTAGACTCCAAGAAAAATTTTTTAAAAAGGGCTGGTGTAGGACAAGAGGCCACATTTACCAACGACGATGCGCCAGCCAGGAGAAGCATCAGTAACGACGTTTAGCGATCCGGAAGCTGAGCTGAGGAGAAATATAATGATGGCAATGTACGTGGCTCCCAAGGTCAGAGTGGAAAACGCATGTTTTGGGGACACTAAAGGTGCTTCCAGAAGGTTCCCCTTTAGGACCTGCTGGACACGCCAAAGACACGGAAGCTCGGTCCACAACCAGAGAGCCATCATCTATTAGTCCCCAGAATATGGTTGATAGTGTCTATTTGATGCCCTGTCATTCGTCACCAGTGAACTTTGGAAAAAAAGGTTCATTCAATTTTACGGCTGGGAGAGGCTTCAGAGATGGATGTTATCCACCCCCTCGTTTTACTGATGAAGTTTCTCAGACGCAGATAGATGTGGGGAATTCTACTTTTCAACGTTTATGAGAACATGAAGTATAGTTACAGAAACATACTCCGGATGGTTCAGGGTCGTGCTGAACCTGTTCATCCCACCCGACTGTCCCCACGAGCATACCTGGATCTGCCGGAGCATGTATTCCAGCTGGAGATTTGGAAAAGTATGATCACCTTATGGCTTGGAAAATTACATTCGGAAAAATTAAATGTTCAGAAAATCTGGTTTGGCTTTTGCGTCCGCGCTGAGGCGCACACACTGAGAAGGGAAGAGAATTAAAACATGCTCTACTCTTTTTTTTCCTCATTTTTTAGTTTTTACGGAAATATGTGTTTGGGGAGAGAAACTGCGAGTCTATGGGGGGTCCCGGCTTGAGCTACTGACAAAAGTGACAATAGGAAGAAATCTAGATAGTTAAGAAGAAAAAGAAGTACATGGATGTGGAACAGAGTGAATTTTAGAATTTAGCAGGTCACATAGAATTATCACAAATGTAACAGCTTAAGGATGCTCTTTGAAAAGCTGATGGAAATATATTAGGCCTGTGTAGCTAAATTGGTAGAAAGTGGGGCAGGAGACGGAGTGGGAGGGATGCTGGGGAGGAGGGGAGTGGGAGGGCCAAGGAGCTGCTGCCTAGGGAGGCGCGGGGGCGTCTGTGGGATGGGATCTGTGACCTCAGCATTAACATCAGCCCCAGGAAGGAAGGGGCGGGTGAGCTCAGCGCACAGCCTCCTTCTCCAGAATCTGCTGCCTCGCCCGTGAAAGGAGAGCTCCTGCCAGCTGCCCTGGGGTCCAACAGCAGCCAGTGAAGCAGAGGATGAGGAAAATGGGCAGGAGAAGTCAGCAGCCCTCTCGTGTGTACGGAAAGTGAAATCCACAATAAACTTGGGAGACTTGGAAGAGAGCAGAGGAGAGGAGGGAGCCTATGTATTAGATGTAGCTCTGTGTTTACACTGAAAGTGGAAACATGCAAACGAGGCTTGGGGCCGCCTTCCTCCTTCCTTATTCTTCCTTCCTTCACAGGCACCCAACTATGCAAACATCTGGGTCCGAAAGCACGTTAAATATTGGTTAGCAGCCAGTGTAACCCAGAGATGCTGACATGGGATGCCTAAAAGCTGAGTCTAATGCTCCTCAGTTAAAGAAAATAAGCAGACCCTCTAAATGTTTCCCAAGCTAAATAATAAAACACAGCTTGTTCCTAAAATTTCAGCAGTGATCTGGGGATGTTTTTACATGTTATTGGCCCTTTTTTTTTTTTAATGCATAGACACTATAAGAGACAAAAGCATTTATTGCGACTTAAGGAAAGATCCCTTTCTTGTAGCACTGGCTTCCTTCTCCCGGCTTGTACAATACAAAGCAGTGTGTATTAATAGAGGCTATTCACATAATGGGCTTGCTCACCACTTAAACTCTGTGCCCTGCTAGCACCTTCATCCACAGAGCCGTTCTCTTTATCACACACTGAGCTAACACTGCCTCCCTCCACTTTACAAAAGGCAGGGAGAATTGCATCCCAGGAAGAGCAGCGATGCCGATAAAGGGGTCGGGAAGAGGCAGAAGCTCAGATTTGAGCCTGTGCTTGGAGATTCTGCCTGCGCACTGTGTACCCCCAGTCCCGAGTTCATCCTGGTTCCTGGTCCTCTGGTATTTGCCTTTCCCAGTACAAGGGTAGGAAAGATGATGACTCTTCTGGTCCTC